TTAAATACCAAGGCTCGAAATAATGTCTGGACCTACGCAGGACATAATGCTGTTCCAAACACTTTTTTGGAAGGTCATGATTAATTTTTAAAGATAGGGCTGGTAAATATGTCCTTTCAAATTCCAATTTGACAGGTCATTTAGCAAATTTGGAAGGACATTGTCCTTTGTACTTCCCTTATTTCGAGCCCTGAAATACATTATCTCCAATGGTCAAATGCTACCTGGGATTTGGTGCACGTTTTTCGCCATCAATCAAAACTCCAAAATTTACAGCCCTCAAACCAAACGCACATTGTTTGTCAATAGTGGTCATTCGGTTTTGAGCCTTGAGTTTGATTGACAGGAGCAAAAATGCCGACAAACGATAATTAGCATTTGACAGTTGAAGGAATGATACTGTATGTATGAGGAAGTAAAAGGAATTAGCTTTTTTAATTAATACTCTTTTATGACATTWAACATGACTTTAGTCTTAATGTCACATATTTACAAATACATTAACTATGATTATTAGTTTAGTTGTTTTTAAAAAACCTGCTTTTTTAAAAAATAAATTTACAATTTTATCTTGTACCCTTTTTAACTTCTTCTGGATTATTTCYCATCTATTCACTTTTCCAATTCTTAATAATCGATCCATTCATTCATTTATATGTTTATATTACACAAACTGTTCAGGCATGTATTTATAAATGTTTTTATAGCAAAGAGTATTTAGCTTTTTATCTTAAAAGTTGTAATTTAGTGTTTTAATGCCCCATGCCATTAACCCTGTACCCAGGCATTCGTAGCAACTCTTAGGGAGTTTTTAAAAATTTTGGGTTTTTCCTTCGCAGTAGCTAGGAACGTCTGGCCACAGAGGCTAACCAACACCCAGTTCACAATATTAGACGTGCAAAATTACTGGATAAGAAAAAACTAAGCAAAGCAAAGGTGACTGAATTAAAAAAACAAACAAATGTATACATTATAGTTTGCCTTGTACTATGATAATTAGCAAGTTAAATAAAATGTACTTTGTTCCATAGATAATAAAATTTATGTGTTTAATAACATATTTATGAAGGACCATTATAAGTCAACACCATGCAATATCTATTATGTATTTTCTTTTAAGACCGATTTACACAGTACGATTTTCACATGCAATTTGTAGTATAAATGAGCTYCTAATTGCTCCATGTAAATGCCTCTTTTACTTTCCTACAACATTTTGCAACATATACAACTTAATTGTCATAGGAAAATCGCATGCTAGTACAAGTTGCACATGACAATCATACCATAAATAAATCTACCATTAAGCATCTCCAACATGCAGTTACACACAATCCACTCTTGGTGGGAAATCAAGCAAAAGAATTCGTCACTTGTTTACATGCTATACAGCCTTGTTGTCATAGATACAGGTAGCCATAGCAACACACCTTTTACTGATGCGGTATTTGGCATACTCAAGTTTCCCAGTGACAGGGTGTTGGATTGTGGCACGACGGAGCTGTTATAACCAAATATCACTCAATTAGTACCCAATCCTAACCGCAGATGGGAATTCACCTGAACTTCCAAGTCAAAGACCAGTTWAGAATCACTTTTATTCAAAAAGGATTTAAATTCTTTAWGCAAATAAATGTATGGAAGTGATGAGAGGGTAATTGGATCAAGTGTCCACCTTTTACTGATCCGATAATATGCATGTTTCAGCTTTCCTGTTTTGGTATCCTTTACAGTTGCTCGCTGAAGCTGATTCAGGAAAGGAGTTAAGGTATAATATTTCAAATCAATATTCACACTGAAAAATGGGTAATGGTGCATAAATATCTCTTTTTGATAATTCTATGAAGAGTCAAAAAATGGAAGAAACATCATCAAATCTTTCCCTAAATTGTGTAATAAATAGCTATACATGAAGACTTTGCCACCTTGAAGGACATAAACACAACTGCTTGTAAACACAGCAAACAATWCAGAAATACAATCACATGATCAAAGCTAGTTGTTTCAGCTGTCAACTGCAATACAAAGCAGTTCTAGGAACWGGTCTTTACACACTATAGTAAAGGCAAATTATTATTTTCTTGAAGAGCACACTCAGTCATGCAATATAAGGAAGCAGATGTACATGTATCATGTAGCAAGAAAGAAACTTTCAGGAAACCACTGTGCAATGTTTAAGAAAGGAGAGGAAGTTATAAGTTTGCCCAAGAATGTATATTATGTTGAGACTTTACAAACAAATGTATGTACCATACAATGTAGTTTCAAAGCTTGAGTCAAGCTGTGAGTCTGTCTGTGTTTAGTTKTAAGAGCAATTTAGATGGTGCACTATATTCTGAGGTGCATGCCACGTTCATAAGCAACAAGTTGCATTGTTTAAAATCAGCCTTCAGYATTAGATTGTTATTTTTGTCAGAAGTTACAATGAAGAATATTTTTTGAAGCAAACACATGTACATTATCATATATTAGATTTCCTTATGATGAAGAAGTGGCGACAGTTGATAGCAAATTATTGCATAATATGATAATAAAGCCATGCATTTTATTAAATGCATTATTTATTCCCATCAATTAGAATAGCAGGTGGAATGCTGTTAATAACCTATATTTTTGTACGTTTTGAAGATTACTTGTTATTTTCACAAGAACCAAGAAACATTTGCTGTGCCTCATATATTTTGCTGCTCTCACTCGAAGATAAAATCCATATCTCAGATGCATCCATGTAAATATCCTCTATATCTTTTTCACTTTGTTTCAATTAAWTTTTTTCCCATTGACTGTGCAATCAGTTAATGGAATCAATGTTATATAATTATATGTATAATGTGCTGAATATAAACAAGTTGATTGTGCTTAATTGATTGAGTTAAGTATTAGTAAACTTATTATTGATTGCTTTATTATCTTTTAAAGATAATATATAATATATAATATATGTTCATTTATATTTAAATAAATTAGTACTCATTAGTATATCAATAATAATTAATAATACATCAATAATGTTACTTGCAGATACTATTTTATTATTCCCATTATACCATGTAATACTTATTAATTATCATTATTAATATTACTAATATTYATTAATATTTTTCAATACCTTTTGCTTACTCTATAATCAGCAAGGAGAAGGCTGCCATCGTCATCAGTAACAGCAGCTCGTGTAAACTGCATTATTAACAAGTGCACATAGTTGTTAGCCATTGTGCTTGATAATTGTTATCAGCATTATTTATTAATGCATACAGTGCACAGGCAGCACAACCTCTACAATTGACAGCTTTGCTATATTTTCATTGATCAGGAAACATTTAATCAAGTAGATGCTGAGTATGTTTTTATAATTATACATTTATCATTGTGCACCTACTGGCAGAAATGCTGACAAAAATGGCAATATTATATAGATTGGATGAACACTTCATGAAAGAAAAACCCAAACAAAAAAGCTCAACTTATTGTTCAACTGACAACTTTTAACAAGCTAATCAAAATGTATTTATTTATTTATTTTTTTTTGCTTTATTATTAATTCATTTATACTTCACCTGATGTTTTTTGAAAATCAAACATAATTTACATACAAAAAATAGCAAGCAGACACTTCTTAAGGATTTTGAGAAATAAAATAATGTTTGCAAAAAATAATGTTTAGCATGCTGGTATTCATGTTTAATTTTGATTTTTCACTTTTGTACCAATTTTTAGAGTTTTAGAAAGCCATTTTTGGATTGCTTAATAATAAAATTATTGTATAGTTTCTCAATGAAAATTGCAAAGCCGCCAAGTGTAGCATTACATATGCCTGAAGTGCTTGAAAACGGAAAACAATTAGTGTTAGTGCATACCGTATATTGGTTAAAATTAACATTATAGTTTATAAGAGGTACGAAAAGATATTTTATGATGCCAAAGGGAAGGACTGAAAAAGAGTGGAGGAAGGAAAGAAGAAAGGAAAGAAGGGATTAGAGAATAAGAGAAGGTAGGAAGAAAATATATAGAAAAAGTAGAAATGCAAGGTGGGATGTAGACACACAAAAAATGAACAAAAAAACCTACTGAAAAATACTGAAGTAACGAGATGAAAAAAAACAAAAACATTCAAACTAGTCAGTAACACTTGCTTACCCTGGGTATTGCTAACTCCTTGACAAGGTTGATCTCAGAATCAGAAAGAAYATTTCTCAAAATGAAGATTTCTGGTTTGACAAACACCCTTTCAACACGGCCAGGCTTGAGGATTGTAAGGGGATGTTTTTTAGTGTACCAGCACTTCATTTTACTCATCTCCCATTTAGTCTAAACAAATACAATAAAATAGAATGAATAAGAATAAATATATGAATGGATAAATGAAAAAATAAAAGGATGACTAAACAAATAAAAAAATTGGATGAATGGGATGAATAAATGAATAAATAATGAGCAAATGAATAAATGATAAAATTAAAAAAATGACCAAAATTATGGATGGTTGAATAAAGACAAGAAATGGGAACAGTYATGTAATAAAACACTTTTTATGATATGTAGTTGATATAAATAGAATGATGGTAGGTTTTAGTGGCATGTACATGTACACACAAAGAGAAACCTRTGGTCAAGGTTTTGTGAAGAAACAGTTCCTTATATACTAGAGTTTWATGATGCAGTTTCTATGGTGACATTCATAGAGTTTTGAAATAATAATCATGAGAGAAAAATGGTGGTAATAAATTCACTAAAAGGAATCTACATGTACAAGAGATTTATCTCAAAAAGTCTATTGGGAGATACAGTCAACTCTCACCTTACTGACACCCTGCTACAAAGGACACCTCGATATTGTGAACAGTAAAATACTGAATCGCCGGCGAAAAATACAAAGAAATGACTGAAAGTAACTCTCGTTACTAGAGACTCTCGCTACTGTGGACACTAAATTATGGCCCCGAAGGCGTCCGTAATAGTGAGAATTGACTGTACAGCGTTCAAATGGAAATTCAAATTGTTGCTTCAGTGATTTGTTGCTAGGGTTGCATATTTTGACCATATTTAACAAACTTACCAAGTTCCTTACTTGTCCCCTGCAAAGTCTTTCATAGTCTTGAAAAGCCTTGGTCCGGTGGAAGTGTTCTCTTTCTTTTCTCACCTTAAACCTTGGACCACTATCCTCTAGCAATCCCGTGTCACCACGGCTACCAGTCTTTAAAGACTTTTTAATTTCATCTCCAAAAAAATTAACATTATCAGCAGCTCTTTCATGAGTGGGATCTATACACGAAAAAAGGAAATTAAAATAATGCACAAAACAAAAATGGGAATTATATATTATGGATTCAATATTGAGATGAGATATCACTCTATTTGGGAGCTTCAGTTTTCTTTTCTTATTCTTTCAATCATTTGAAATCAACCAGTTATTCATTCAGTCAATCACATTATATTACAATCATCACATCAATTAATCATTCAATCAATCAATCTTGACAATCAACCAATCATTTAATCAACCAATTGTCATATCATTCAATCAATCAATTGTCATATCATTCAATCAACCAATTGTCATATCATTCAATCAACCAATTGTCATATCATTCAATCAATCAATTGTCATATCATTCAATCAACCAATTGTCATATCATTGAATCAATCAATTGTCATATCATTCAATCAACCAATTGTCATATCATTCAATCAACCAATTGTCATTTCAATCAATCAGTCAATCATCACATCCATCAATCAATCAATTGTCCCATCAACCAATCATTCAACCATTCAATTATACAACCAATTCATCTTCTACTCATCCCTTCACTGTCCATCATTTCAAACTTACCTAATTTAACCATGTCTAACGTGTAGTTAAAAGCTTTCTTTAAATTTCCTCTCTATGAACAGAATCAAAAAAATAAATTTAACATTGATTTAAATCCTGCTTTAATTTAATTTACTTGAGATAAATATTAAAAGTATTAAAACTTCACACCTGCCACTCTGCGTATGCTAAATGATCCAAAACATCAAACKTATTAACTTCGTCTTCGTCCTCTTTTGCTCGGATTTTCCTCAACGTTTCTTCCATCCATGATTTTGTATAAAACATATCGTTATTGAGATATGCATAACGACCAACTTCATAACAATCTCCAACTGTCATTCGAGGCATCTGTCTCACGTTAGGGAGTTGCCCCTCAGAGAGTGATTTTGCTGCGAGTCGATATGTGTCTTGTAAACGTAATAAAGCAACAATGGCTCCCTCAAAGTCCTCTTTTGTGGAATAGTCACTCTTATGTTTTTCTAAGACTTGCATTATGTCTGGCGAGTATAGTATAAAATAAAATAATATAAACTACAATCTAATCAGACATGCTGCAGTATACAGTAAGACAGGGTGGACATGTATTTAGACAGGTGTTAC